GAGAGGAAACCCATCTTCCGCTCCCCCCCCCCGGTGTAATAACCAACACCCGCTGCTGCTGGGGTGGCAAAATTCACACTTTATTCATCACTTATTCTCCTCGTACAGAGACGATGTGGGACTAGAAGGGAAAAAGAAAGAAAGAAACGCCAGTGTTTCCATTAGAACTATTCTTTTCTTTTTTTTTTTTTTTAAAAACGGCTAAAAATCCTGTAGAGGCTATTGAAACCGCCGCCTCTGGCAGTAGGCAGGCCCATGGCTACCTGCCTCCTCCCTTGTCACCAAGAAGTTCCTGGCGTTTCCCATGCAAAGAACAGCTCAACCTTTTCCTCCCACACCCACGCGGTGCTAAGGTTTTGGTCACACAGAAAAGAGACAACATCTAAAACTCCAGCTTATAAATTGTAAAAACATTTGAAAGAGCAAAACCCAAACTCGCAGTTGCTTTTATATAAACGAGTCGATTAAAAGGTCACCCTTAAAAACGTTGTTTGCTTTTCTTTTTTACAAAACAAGGCAGCGATGGACAAGGACTTCCCCGTGCTGCCCCCCTCCTCATCCAGAGAGAGTGGTGTGTGCTTGGCTATCTATTTAAATAGTTCTGTTCTAAAATTACATTCATCACAAAACAAAAAATTTAAAAGTGCAAACAGTCTGTGAGTAGGTGAGGAGAGGTTGCAATATGGATGGGATAAAATTGAACATGCTTCCGAAGTTCTGCTCAACACCACACTAAACACTTGTCACCGTCACAAAGCCACCACCTAATTTAACACTTAGAAATGGAGTTCTAATAATACTTAGCTCTGCTCATGCTCATAGCACTTCACAAACATTTAACAGTTCCAACACTCCTGTGATGCAAGTATTATCATCCCCATTTTACAGCTGGGGAAAATGGAGGCAGAGTTTCGTGACTTGCTCATATAACAGCAATGCCTTCCTCTTCCCCCTTTATTTCTCTGAATTCTCAATTACTTTCTGTATCTGATGCTTAACGTTTGAATAGTCTTGTGGAAATGGATGGTATAATTTCCATGAATCGCCACTCATAACACTTTGAAAGTTACAGCCTAGATGTTACTGCAATAATCAACGGTAGGTTCAGTTTAACAGGTCATATTCTATCACCTTTTTTCTTTACATTCTAGCATGCCGCACCATTTTGAAAACAAAGTCATTCTTTTCAAAGTAAAATATTTAAAACATAAAAAGGCCAAATTCTGCTCTGTTGTAAAGATGCAACTGTTTATTGAAGTTGACAAAAACTGTAGCCATGCAACAGAGCAGAATTTGGCCATGGGAATGTGTATAACCTCTACAGTGGCTCAGGATATACTGGCATTATACCAAAGCAAGGGCACGTGGCAGCTAAATTGAAATATTGTACTGAGAGATGTGCACAGTTAGCAGCCTACAGAGATTTTAAAAAACAGTTCAGTTTTTCCAGTTTTGACATAATTTCTGTCTTCCTTGTATCCATGAATCCACCTGAGAACTAGAAGTATTAGAATGCAGGCAAAAATATCACATATTTATGCCTAAAATTCTAGTGTTCAGTCAATATTAAGATGATAGCATGAAAAGTCACGACACAAGGATGACTCAATCCACCCTTGTTTTCTCCCTGCAGCCCTTGCTCCCATTTGGTCTTTATCCTGCCCCCATACTTTTATTCCAAATCAATCCTGACTACTTGCTGCTGTTGTAGAAGTTAAAAGTTTGCTACCACCGCTGGACTCCAGGAGCACATAATTAGGCATAGATGTCCAACTACCTCATTCACTTCATTCTGTTTGTACCAACAAAATGATCAAGAGTGAGCAAAATAAAGAGCTCCTTAAGTAGCCATAAAGCTTCTGCAGAGCTGATACACAATCACCACCTGGCCAATTATTCCTCAGCGGCTGACCTCAGCATTTATGCACATCTGTATGCCTCATGCAATACACAGGAATTCAGAACAAAAATCCCACTCTCTCCTCCTCTGGGCTTCAGAAAAGAGGTAAAAAATGTAGACCCACATTTTGAAAAAGGTCACAGGATTTAAATTGGGCTGGATTTTCAAGAAAGCTTAGTTTTATTTAGCCTCTAGACTGAAGACTCTGGGGAGCAGGGACACACCTTTTCTTCTGTTCTGATAATACCTAGTACAATGAGGTCCTTGAGACAGACAGAGAGAGAGAAATGTTCTGAAACTTCTGTTCTACTCCTCCAGCAATGGACCCAAGTTGCCTGCTACCCTTAAGCTGATAGTCTGGCTATACCACTAAGGGCTCTACCACTAATGGCCATACCTCCCACATACAGAGATAAGCACCTGCAGCTTCTGCTGACTTCAAATGGGGACTGTGTGTGTTCATCACCAATGTGGATCAGTCCAAAGGCACTGAGCTGGAAAAAGAGAGGATACCAGGTCATAAGAAGCTGTGGTACTAACATGCCCTAAAAGACACTTCTTCAAACTTTCCAATAAGTAGGAGCTCTGCAACTACTGACTAAGCTTTTGTCCCTCAGTTTTCCCACTCAAGGCGCTGCTTGGATCCTGATTTTATACACACACACACACTCTCTCTCATAATTGGGTAAATGTTGAGATGTTTCCAGTTCAAGCCATGTGAAATGCACCTGTGCACCACAATGACAGCAGCCTGATCAATGTTTATGCAAGTGCCTGGAACCCACAGACCTGCCTGGGTTCCCAAGTGCCCTGCACTGTATTTTCATCTCAAGATGTCAGACTTGAGATGCAAGACAAGTAGTCATTTCTAAAACATATAGTACAAAATCAAAATACTGGTTTGAATACATGTCCACAACATCAGTTTGGACTTATGGCTGCCTTAAGTGCAGTATCAAACAAACAAAAGGCTGGTGCTTTGGCAATTCATTAGCTGTTATATATTCAAAAAAGTACAAAAACATGTCAAGTAGCTTGACTAGTGGTAATTCATTATTGCATGGCTGGTCATCACCAAGAGTCTTTTTTTTTTTTTTTTTTTTAAGTCATTAAGAAGTTGTGTCTTTCAGACACTTCACAGTTCCTCAAGGTCAGTTAAATCAACAACTACTTTCAAGAAGAGAGTGTCATCTTTGACAAAGGCATTCTTTGTGTTCTCCAGCACAGTGTGTGCCACAAATCGTGGACACCCAGAGGCAATATTCATGTCTCCATCTGGCCTTTTGAAACTGCTGCTGTTGGGGTCAGCCTTGAAGACTTCTACAATGTGATTTTTTTTCCCACTTTGGTCCAGAAGCATAAGTGTAACTTTTTGCTTGAAAGGCCACGGTAGCAATGAGTCAAACTCCCCTTTCATCACCACAAAGTAGAGGGAGACATGTGTCCCTTTTCCTGAACCATCACCATTCAGGTAAGCTCTTGCACATAACCTGTATCCACAGCGGCTGGTGTAAAATGGCTGGCTGAATACAGATGGAGTGCGACCTTCTACTGCTTCTTTTTTCTTCAATTTGTAATCCATGATTTTCCAGATCAGTCTTCCATTGTAACATGTGCTTTCCAAAAGTTTAAATCGTTCTTCATTTTTATTGAGCTGTGCTTTGTGAATATTGATGTGGACATCATGCTTGTTGGACTGACCTTCCAAAACAACTGGGAAAGAGAAACATAAAACATTCACTTTATGGAAAATCATCTTTGAAACAAAAGGAACACGTACTTGGTGACAATAGCATCTTGACTGCTTCAACCCAGGGTTTAAAAATAACCTTGGAATCATGTATAAGAACTGCACAGTGACAATTAGTTTCATGGTACTGGCAACATCAGTGGGTCTATTGCCCTTAAACACTCTTCTAGTTAAGGCACCTCAATCCCAGAGCAAGACAGCAAGCAGCATTTGGGTCTGGGCCCCAACTTCCCCTCAAGGTCTGTGTGTATTCAAGTATATGAGGTTTTGGGCCTCATATTTTGAATAAACTATTAAAGTATGAATGCATGAATACATCTGGTGGCCTGCTGTCATGCTGAAGCAGACCTTGTGACAATGGGCTTTACTTCTGATCTCACATTGTGAGAGTCTGAAGTAACACCACAGAAATGGAAGTGAAAGGAGAACAAAGCTCTGTCTCTGCCCATCACTGCCTATCCCAAAATAAACTGCAGACTGTTTTAAATGTTACAGCATGAAGCGTTGGCATTGTAAGCCACTTCCCATCCCATGGGTCACTAAAGGAAACAGTCCTTAATTGGCTGAAGCAGGATCAATCTAGCTCTCATGCCTACATTTCTCTAACTTTATTTATTACTCTGATGATCTCCAATTCTGCACTGTTGCTCTGTCACTTTCATTGCCCATAAACTACACTCTGCCACACTCCAGATCTCTTGGGGCTCCTTCCAGGGCCCCTTCTGAGTAATTCTGTAGCAGGTTACATTAATGTAGCACTTCCCCTTGCCTGGAAGCCAAGTATACTGTGTTTATAGTTTAGGAAGGAAAAAAAAAAACCCAACAATTTTTCCTTGCCTTTTTTTTTTTTAACTTGGTAATGCCTGGCACTAATGCTATACCCATTATCCTTGTCTGGAAGCTAGCTCTGTAGAACTCTGCTAGCATGGCTCAGATAACTGTTAAGACACTTGGGAAGCTACTTTTTGTCAGGCTTCTAGACTGCACACAAAATCTTAGCAAGGAAGAGTGTCAAACAGAACCGAGTTGCTGAAATAATGAATGGCACAGGGACTAAATAGCAGGCTAAGGAAATGGCCTGCCAACTCTGGAGATTACAGAAACCAAGATTTCAAATCACAAATGGGAAGAGAAAGGTACAGCCACAACCTAATAGTTTTTTGTAGAGATGACACAATATCATACAGTTTGGGAAAATTGATGGCATCTGCTCAAGAAGACCCAGTGTAGAATAGTAAAAGAGATACAGATCAGAACATAGGGGCCTTGGCTGCAAGCTTGTATAGCAACTGACTTAATTAGTGCTTATTCCCTCATTTCAGAAGGTGCTGAAGGACTGAGGAGGTAGTTTCAAGGAGGCTGGTACAAAGAATCAGTGACATGTTACAGGCTAGTCCAGGGGTCAGCAACCCCCCATTAGTGGCACGTGGAGACTTTTTTCTTGGCACGCCAGGAGGCATACAGATTAAAAAAAAAAAAAAATTAAACTATTTAAGTTGCTGCTTCGGGCTCTCCTGTGCAGCACAAGTCCCAGCACTGCAGCAGGCACCGGGGCAGAACCAGAACACAAGCAGGGACACTGTCTGTATTCTACTGCCCCCACCCCTTGCTCCCAGGCTTCACCCTCCAGCCCGGCTGGCCCCTAGAGGGAGCTGCAGGTGGACAGGGCTGGGGCCGGGGAGGTGCTGCACAGGGTCCCTGCCCTGGAGGTTTCCAGCAGGTGGCAGAGCCCTGGATCCAGGCAAGCAGATACCCTGTCCCACCTGGGGCAGTGCTAAGGTGCCAAGTGCTGGGGCCGGGAGGTTGGGACAGGGTCTGGGCAGCGTGGGCAGAGGCGCTGTAGGCAAGCCAGCCCGGTAGGGCCCTTAGGAAGGCGGGGACTGGGCAGGAAGTAGGGGCAGCCCTGGGGTTCTGCAGGCTCTAGCTGTGGTGGGCGGGCAGGCGGGGGTGCCCAGCAGCACCTGTGGTGGGGCCTGGCCCAGCCTGCACAGCTCTGCAGGGATGGGCCACAGCCACCCTGTGCATGTGGGGATGCTCCCTGGCTGGGGTAGGACACTGGGCTGGGGGGGCCGGGGGCTCCCCTCTCTGGGATCTGCCTCTCTGCATGCTGGACACAGTACAAGCAGGGCAGAGCCGTCCCTGGTGCAAGGGCCTGGCCGCAGGAGACCCCTGGAGCCTGAGAACAGCCACCATGGGTGCCCCAGCCTGCCCAGGTCCTGGCCTTGCCCACCTGCAGCTCCCCTCAAGGGGCCGGGGCTGGGGTAGGCACTGCACAGAGCCGCTGCGCTGCAGGCTCCTAGCCGACTCGGCTCTGAGCACCAGCTGCAGCAGCTGTTCCGAGCCCAGGGAACAGGCTGCAGCTGCAGCTCCCACTTGCAAGGTACCCGGCACACACAGAGACCAAGCAGGGCCCGGCGTCCTGCCCCAGCCAGGCAGCGTCCCTTCATGGGCAGGGTGGCTGCGCCCCATCCCTGTGGAGCTGCACAGGCTGACTGGGCCCTACCTCCAGTGCTGCTGGGCCCCTGCTGTGGCCTGAGTCTATGCAGCCCTGGGGCAGCCCCTGCTTGCCGCCTGACCCCAGCTCTCCTCCAGTTGCAGCCTTCCCAAGGGCCTGGCCAGGCCAGCCTGCCCACAGTAACATCACTGGTTCTTGCGGCTTCCTGCTCCTCTCTCCCTCACTTCCCCTTCATCACAACATGCTTAATTAACAAGAAAAAGAAAATCACAAGTACATAGGCAATATATGAAGATTAATTTATTGTCATCAGGTTTTGAATGTTTAGAAAGCCTGGTATTTACTGTAAAAAAACAAAACAAAACAAAAAAAAGCAACATTTATGATTATCAACTATATTAAATATGCAGTGCATCCTGCCATGTACTCCCCCCCACTACCCCAGTTTTGTTTTTGTGGCATGCTGGCACTCTGGCACCTTACAAGGTAGACATGTGGGTTTTTTCAGCACTCCGCTCAAAAAAACGTTGCCTACCCCTGGGCTTGTCTATCAGCAGGACCCGTTCTAAGCTCCCAGACTGAAAATGAGTGTGGCAGGACAAAGAAAGGAGGAGACAAGGGTGCAGTACAAGGAGAAAAGAAACTCCTTGAAGTCTGCATGCCAAGATATAGCATACCACAAATGAATGTTCTTACCAGAGTATGCAAGTCAGAACTATCAATGATCCGGTCATCAAAGAAATAAACTAACTTTGGGTTAAGTGTCTATATGTAATTGTAGATGAACAGCAGCCTTCAAAGATTCACATTGAGCTCACAGATTCATAGATGTTAGGGTCGGAAGGGACCTCAATAGATCATCGAGTCTGACCCTCTGCATAGGCAGGAAACGGTGCTGGCTTTAGATGACCCCAGCTAGATGCCTATCCAACCTCCTCTTGAAGACCCCCAGGGTAGGGGAGAGCACCACCTCCCTTGGGAGCCCGTTCCAGACCTTGGCCACTCTAACTGTGAAGAAGTTCTTCCTAATGTCTAGTCTAAATCTGCTCTCTGCTAGCTTGTGGCCATTATTTCTTGTAACCCCTGGGGGCGCCTTGGTGAATAAAACCTCACCAATTCCCTTCTGTGCCCCCCGTGATGAACGTATAGGCAGCCACAAGGTCGCCTCTCAACCTTCTCTTGCGGAGGCTGAAAAGGTCCAGGTTCTCTAGTCTCTCCTCAAAATTGCACGCAGTATTCCAACTGCGGTCTGACCAGCGCCCGATAAAGGGGAAGTATCACCTCCTTGGACCTGTTCGTCATGCATCTGCTGATGCACGATAAAGTGCCATTAGCTTTTCTGATGGCTTCGTCACACTGCCGACTCATGTTCATCTTGGAGTCCACTAGGACTTCAAGATCCCTTTCCGCTTCTGTTCCACCCAGCAGGTCATTTCCTAGGCAGTAGGTGTGCTGGACATTTTTCCTCCCTAGGTGCAGCACTTTGCAGTTCTCCTTGTTGAATTGCATTCTGTTGTTTTCTGCCCATATGTCCAACCAGTCCAGGTCTGCTTGTAGTTGTTCCCTGCCCTCCGGCGTGTCCACTTCTCCCCACAGTTTTGTGTCATCCGCAAACTTGGACAGAGTACACTTCACTCCCTCGTCCAAGTCGCCGATGAAGACACTGAAGAGTATTGGTCCTAGGACCGAGCCCTGCGGGACCTCACTGCCCACACCCTTCCAGGTCGATACCGACCCATCCACTACGACTCTCTGGGCGCGACCCTCTAGCCAATTCGCCACCCACCGGACTGTGTAGTCATCCAAGTCACAGCCTCTTAACTTGTTTACCGGTAGAGGGTGGGATACCATATCAAAGGCCTTCCTGAAGTCTAATGTGGGCAAGAAAGTTCTTCATGTGGGCAAGAAAGTTGACAAGGAAGGTGAATCAAGCCGACTAATATATCACAGCCTCTTTTTATACAAAGAGACCCACACAGATATGAAACAAAAAAAAATGCTTACCCAAACGCTGATCATATGTTTCCATAAGGGCAATCTTCTGCTTTATATTTTCAATGGTCTCCAACAGTGGCCTCAAGTCAAATTTGTTTTGCTGCTGGTTTGCCATTTGTATGAGCTGCTTCACTTGCGTTTCCAGCCATGTAGATTTATCAAGATGATTGGCCAGAGTCTTCCAGTTTAATGCAATTCATAGAGGGTGAGCAGGGAGAAGAGGGGACAGGACAAACATTCACAAAAAAAATTGTATGAAATTAAAAAGGTCACTGACTGCATTCAAATTTAAGAATATCCTGCTGTTTGCCTTTGGAATCTGTTCAAATGCTTCTCATGATTAATTCAGCATTCATTCACCAAGAATCAATTCCTAATTCATTAAGATTTGCAATTTATTACTCTGATCTCAATTTGATTATTCAAGTTTATGCCAGCATAGTGAAATTGGACTATGTCCCCCCCCCACCCCCGGTCCTATTCAGCAGTCCTTGCTTAGGCCAAATGACCACAAACCTCCTTTATCAGTCACAAATGAGAAGACTATGCTGTATTTAAAAAAAACAATAGCAATTTAAGTTCATGGACAATGCATAGTATTATACCAGAAATCAATTCACATTTGCATGATGCAATGGCTTTGGGAGTCAATGTTTGTTATTTTCCTGATAATTAATTACAGCGGTCACTCGATAATTGTATTCTGGGCTGTAAAAAAAAAAGCTATTGGTCAGAAAATCAGATATCTCACCTGAGTGCTTACCATCAAGTTGCTATTTTTACCAAACAGCTGTGCAAACTGTCTGAATTCTTTTTCACATTTTTTAACTGCATCTGCTAACTGTTGAATTTTGCTCTCTTTGAATTCCAGGCTCTTATATAGGTCAGATATCTAAGCAACAAAAAAAGAAGAATGAAAGCTCAAGTAATTCTAAAAGCATGAAACAAACAAATTAAAAAAGTATGGACATTACATAGGAAGAGGGAGAAGAGTCTATTAATATGATTGTATTAGCATAGCTGAATAAAATTAGTTTTTTTCTGGTCTCAAAATGTTTTACCCCAAAAAACTCTGCAGAAGGTAGCAGCGAGAATTAAACCTGTGCGTCTTTAGAATTATGACTAGGGACCTACTTGAACTGCAATTTCACGATTTTTGTGGAAACCATGAACACAGCAGTTTCTGTGAACACCGTGAAAAACAGAGGTTTCTACAATTTTGCACAGAATCACCAGAAAAAATAATCGACTTATTAAAACTAAAATGCTGGCTCCCTAGTGGGAGGCAGCAGCCACTGCAGCCTGGTATTGCAGACCACTGGGGCGTGGAAAAGCTGCCACCATGAAGGTGAACAGCCAAGACAGCAGCCACTCCCTCTACTGCTGATTGACTTAGATGGCTGCCTTTCATACATCCCACCCCTCTTGGCCAATCAGTGGCAAGGGGCGGGGCCACAAGAAAGAAAGCCCTCAGCCAGTGGTGAGGAGTGGGGCTGCCAGGGCCTCTTGGGCAATTAGTGGTGGGAGTAGAGGAGGGCCTCCCATTGTGATAAGCCCATGAAAATGGTGGCCGGTGCCACAACTGGCCTGCAAAATACCTTGCCTGCTGCCTTGATTTGGGTAGGTCCCCAATTATAACCTTTTCCTACCCCAGCTCGAAAACTAGATTTCAAATCACTTCTAATTAATACAGATTATGAAAGGATTCACATTTTTAAGTGCAATTATTATTACTGAACAAGTCTGTGTGTTAAAGACAATCTCCTTGAGCTCAGGATCTGCTGCAGCCTCTGAGCTAAACACTGAGTTGCCACTGGAAAGTGACAGAAAACAGACACTAAAGGAAGGAATAGAAAAGATATGGAAGGAAATATAATACAGCAATCAGGAATCTTTTTAGGCTGTGGCTTGCAATGACCCAGCCTGGATCAGAGACGGGCCCAGAACTACCACCAAAGCCCCACATCTGTGGGCTGAAGCAAGTCGTTAATGGTTGGAATACGGGACACAACATAATGTGGGTTTATCAGTGGATTAACTTAGTATCAGTCTATGATAAGATAACAGGTTTCTTAAATATGGATAATACAGTGGACTTAAATCAGTGGACTCCTGATAAAAGTATCTAAACAGTATGGATAATTTTCCCCCTATGAATGCTAATGGATTCTGTTTATTGGTGGGGCAGGGGGGAGAGGGGTTCACCTTCCACTGAGGGATAAATGTTAGGCACAGCTAAGGTTGGGAGTTTTTGGCTGGGTTGGGCTGATGCTTCTGTTGGCACTTGGAAATTACTGGCCAAATTGGAGAGAAGGGGGATTGATGATGCAACTGTGAGATGGACAACAAGCTGGTCTAAAGGGGAACTTCAGCAGACTATGCTGAAAGGTAAATTGTTTGATTGGTGGCTGCTTCACTGGTGTCTTCCAGGATTGGTCCTACAGCCTGAACTGTGCAACTCTCTATAAGAGACCTTGGTACTGGAGGTAGAAGTCTCCTCATAAGATCTGTGGACAATATTAAGATGGGGTGAAGGGGTATTGCCAGTGTGGAAGAGGACTGGATTATTATATAAGAAAATGTAGATAATCTTGTGGAATGGAGCATTAGAAATGGAATGAAGTTTAACAGTCTGAAGTGCAAAATCATGCACTTAAGGAGCAATAACAAGGACTTCAGTTATAAGACAGAGCACAAACTAGAAACATCTGAGGAAGAGAGGGACCTGGCTGTATTAGTTTATCATAAGTGGGGTTGACAGACATGGGGAGCGGGGGGGACAAAAACAGCACTTTATTGGTAGATGAATCACGTCAGTTTGACCTGGATCCTCAGCATCTGTATATATCACGTGCTTCAGCGGGGGTTTTTGGTGCTTCTATCTAATAGCTGATTGAATCAGCTATTAAATAAAAGCGCCAAAAAGCCCCACTGAAGTGCACAAGCTATACAGATACTGGGTGAACCGGGTCAAATTGACACAGTTCCTCTTCTGGGCGTTAGCTGTTCTTGGTGTGGGGGCATGCCGAGCTGAAAGTAAAGAACTGCTTTGTTTTGTTTTATTTTCCCTCTCACAGCTGTAAGTACCTAAGGTGATCACAAGTCAACAGTGCAACAGGGTTATGAAAAAAAAGTTATGTAACCTTAGGGGATATTATGTGGGGTATATGCAGTACAGTACAGATTAGGAGTACAAGGTGAGACCACTGTATATCGTGCTGGTAAGACCCCAGTTAGAATACTATGTTCTGATCAGCAGTGTTCGTAAAAGATCAACTTAAGCCAATAAGATGGTCATAAGAATGAAGACCTCCTCCTATGAAAGAAGATTAAAGAAGCATAACTTGTTCAGTCCAGGGAAATGGATTGCGAGGAGACATGATCACCCCTTGCAAATATGTGTGGAGTGATTGTGGAAGAGAAAGATTTTTAGCTAGAAAAAGCAAAAAAGTGGCATAAGATCAAATAGCTGCATATTGGTTATGGATAAGTTTACAGTTGGAAATCTAAATTTCTAGTATCAGAGAAATGAAGTTTTGGAATGGTCTTTCAGCAAAGTGGTGGGGCAAAGAATGGGAATCACCAAGACTGAGCTGAATAAGACAGGAGATCTAATGCACCACAGTGCATGAGGTATGGAATTGTGCCTGCTGTCCCCAGGTTGAGGGGTATAAAGGTGGTTCTTGTAGTGAGGAAGGCATCTGGCAAATCTCATGTCCTGAAGCTGTTACTGGCTGCCAGGTGAGGGCAGGAAAGATTCCCCACCATGAATACTATTGGCTTCTGATATTTTTATTTTGTGCCTTCTTCTGAAGTATCGGAACATTAGCCACAGCTAAAGCTGGGGCATACAGGAAACTAAAAGGTTCCTGCCTATTTGGCCTTGCTCTTCTGTTCAGGGTCATACTGACTGGGATCAAGGAGGAATTTTTTTCTGTTGGTGAGACTGGCACAGATTTTGCAGTGGTGGAGAAGGGGTAGCCTCCCTCTGGATTAGCATTTGGCTTGGTCTTTGTCATAGGACCTGCTAAACATATTTTAACTAACGTTGTTGTAGCTGAAAGTACTGCCAATGCACTGCATCTCCTCTTCTTTCACCTGTGCCAGGGTGGTGTTGGTGTTTTGGATGCTGTTCCTTGGAGCTGCAGATGACAGTTTGAAGTGCCAATTTCAGGTATTCCTCTGGTTAATGATTGCCTGTGTACACAGGAAACTGGACTCAGTGGCTCAGGAGGCCCCTTCCAGTCCTATGTCTCTAAACCCATGCTGGCTTACAATACCTGTCATTAAAATGGGGTTACAATTACCACTCATTACTGAGGCCTAACCAACATAACAGACCAGTTAGGGAGGAGTGTTAACCCCATAAACAGCAGTAAAACAACAGATTACAGCATTCTGGAGCATTTACTATGTTTTAACTTGTCTGCCTACTTTTAAAAGACCCAACACTTGCATAAAAGATTTTTGCCTACCAGCTAAAATAGCTGAAGAGCATTCATTAAATATGGCTCACCTGTTCTTCCAATCTGGAGTTCTTTTCTAAAATCTGTAGCATGTGTTCCCTCAGGGATGCATTTTCATGTTCAGCCAGCTTTCCTCTTTTAACCTGGGTGCGGTAGAGTGGGTGGGGAGGGGAAAATGATTAAGACTAAGAGAGCTGCGTAATAGAAAGTTCTATTACAGGCAACTGGTTAAAAGTTTCCGTGAATCCTTCAAAAGTGAGTGTGAAGTAGGTCCAACTACCTTTTTTAATCATAAACAGCATAAAAAGGGATGGTGAATAGTAGCTGTGTGTATGTGTGCGCGTGCACGTGCAAGCATGAGCGTGAGAGAGAATTGGTGGGAGGAGTGGGCACCATCCCAGCTGTAGTTAAAATAAAGGCCAAGATCACTGTACCTTTACAGAACAACCATATTGCTTATAGGGACAGTCCACTTCTGCCTCTGGACACACAAAGAAGTGCTCATCGATCTGCAAATATTGAACAAAGCTTTAGTGAAAGAATTACTAATACTTCAATATATTTACTGAACCTAAACCCGTGCAAAAGAAGGGCCAGTAGGTCAATAGGCACTGAATGTATGAAAAAGAAAATGATTAACCAGTGTCAATAAATGAAACCAGTTCCACTAACACAACGTGCAAAAGCTCAGCAACAGCTGAATGCTACATTCCTACAATAAGAGAGATAAGGTTGATTTTCAGAACAAAAGAAAGAAGCATCTCAAAAAATGATGCAAATCTGTATTACCAAATCTGGGCCAGTAAAACCCAATTAACTGAGTTAGAACAAAAGATAAAAAATAAATATTAATACCTCTTTTTTCAGTATTATCTGAGAACAATTTTGAAGACAAGGCACAGGATAATCAGGACAATCATTGTTCTCATGGTTCTGGAAAAAAAAGGTGCATTAGCAATGGGATGCATCAGACTCATTATTCAGGAAGCACATCATTCTCTGAAGATCACAGACTGTCATGTATACACAGAAAAATAGGCTATATATTTCATCCTGTAGAGTAATACATATGTGCAGCAAGAAACTCACGGGTACCACTCAAAGAAGAACTGTGTACAGGCATGCATAGTTATGTTAGAAGGCCATGAAGGCTGGATAATCCAGTATTCATAAGTCTCAAATATTAGGAAACATCAGAATCAAGATGGTTTCTGCAACCTTAATTCACATTCCCCTTATGCACATGCAAGAAGGAGTGCGCTAGAATTCCTCAGTGAAAAGATGCCTAGAATTCATCATGCACAAAATAGATTTCTTCAGCCTCAATCTCAGAAACAGTTGTTTTACATGAAATTCCTTCCCCCCACAAAAAATTATCCTGGGGCAGAAACCTGTTTTGGAACTCTTCACAGAAGCAGCGGCAGCTCCCCACCAGCTGGAACCTATCTATGCCTGTGCCCCAACCAGGGGTATGCTAGGAAGCCAGGGAAAGAAGCAGCAGAGGTAAAGGCTCTGGCATAGCTCCTTGGTGCTTAGCCCTGGCACAGGTGCAGGCAGAAGCACAGGCAAAGCCCTTCTGCTCTGCAGGCCAGATCTGACCTGCAGGCTGTGTTGTTGCCACTTCTAGTAAAAAATAATTCACACAGCTATCCTTGATTAGGATTCCCCTGGATCATAGGTTGCATACTGTCATCCAGTTCACTGGAAACAGGACTTCATCTTAAATATTATTTCTGTCCAATGCATTAAGCCACATCTTCAAGATCTCTCTTCACCAAACACTCCTTAAAAAAACCCCAAAACAAAAACAAACAACCCCCCGCCCCCAATCCTTCCCCATCCTCCACCCCACCTAATATTTTCCCTGAAACATGCTGGATACAATGAGTATACCCACTCAACGTTGCAAGCTCAAGTCAAGAACTAGTTTTTCACTTTTCACCTATTATGTGCCGCCTTGTGCACTGATGCTGTATCAATATTAGCAAAGCTTCCTTTATTGCTGCCAAAACTCCCAATCCCCACCTCTTGCCAGGACCTGGTGGCATATTAAATGCCAGTCATTGTTTCAAACTTTTGTTTGTATCTTTTTACATTGGAAGGTCTTTAAAGCAGGGAATGCATCTTCCAATACACCTGTACTGTATATTGTAATAAACAATAGTGGGGATTATCATTATATATATGCTTTTAGGGAAATCTCATCTCAGATGAAATTCTGTCAACTAGGGGGGTGAAATTTAAGCCACTGGCTTTAGCAGAAGCAAAAAAAGATGCACTAATTTATCAGATGTTTTAAATTCACTTTTTTTTTTTTGGAAAATGTATATGGAATCTAGTCCAACTCTGTACCAGACTGCTGTTCATCAGAACCCTTCAGTTATCAAGATTGTTTAAACTACACTTATGATACCTTTTCCTTCAGCTATTTAATTGAATTTGTTAATAAACAAGTAGTCTTGCAGTAACATCCCGGAACCTACTTAGGCAGCAGCTTTAAGAGCTGAACATACAGATTATGGATTTCTTGGGCCTTTTTCATAGTCTTACCTTTAAATTAATTGAAACCACATAGTTATTACAGTACTGACATTTTTCTTCTCGAAATCTGCACTGCAGACTTAAGTGGTCTTTTAAATCCTTCCGAAGAACTTGATCATGACATCCATCGTTAGTGCACTGCACATTTTCAAAACAACACTGCTGAAGGTGATCCTGCAGCATGCAACAAGAAGGCATCAGCATACAAGAGAACTCAAATAATAAAGACAGCATGTTAGAAAGTTGGTTTATTGCACCTGGATTTCAATACTGCTGCTTCCATTAGAGATACTTAAACACTAAACAGACTTGAACCAAGCAACTCCACTATCTATCCCCACAGCACACAAATACACTTTCCAAGCACAGTCAAAGACGGTCAAGAAAAGGTCTGAAGATTGGAGAGAATCTCTGCTTTATTTCCCTTCAGTCAGACAATATCTCAAAGAAAGGTGAAACTGAACCAGTACATGCTGATAAGAACCTGCAGTCGTTCTTTGTCCAGGTAGAACAGGAGTGTGAGTCGTCTGGACCCATGGGCCAGGTGAATGGTACAAGGCCAGTGCACGGGCCAGAGTGGGACCATAGACCCCCTTGTGTCCCCCACCATGCTGGATTCAGCACCTGTAGCACCTGCCCTAGGATCCACACTACACATGTGGTGCAGATCCCAAACTGGCTAGAGCGGGAGTCATGCGTAGTGCACATCCCAAGCCCTGCATCCGAGGCTGGTCTGGTGGCATGTGGGTCAACTCAGACACAGGGACAGCAGCAGGGGCCTGATGATGGGGCTCCATCAGTCAAATCCAGCCTGCAAGCCATATTTTTTGACACCCCTGTCATATATTCCATAGGGAGAGATGCTGTAAGTGCCTGAGTCTCCCTCTTTGTTCTTAACCTACAATTTTTTTCCCTCTCTCATAGTCCTAAGGAAAACCTGAACATAATCCATCTTGTACTTTTTTACTAAATCTGCAGCAAGATCTTCATGCCATAAAGGGAAAAAAGGATTTGTGTCACAGAATCCTCATTAAACAAACTGAATATGTAGACAATTGGGACTTAAAATAGTAATATTTTCAATGTAATATTAAGTTATATACAGTTGTACATTGAACAGGCTGACTCAAGTATGTACTCATGCTCGGCTCCAATTACAGTAAGGTCTGTGCTGTAATAGGCCTGCTTACATGGGAGAAGATAATTTGACTTCTGACAGAGTTGGAGGCTCTGAGACTTTAGAATTTGACATGATACATAAAGATAATTATACTAACCCGATATCGTCCTAGAATTATTTTTGAATTGCAATCAGGAACATTTTTGCAAAATACTTGCAAGTTGAGAACTTCTCTTTTGCAGCAATTGTCTTTGAATACCTGCGAAGGAAGCAACCACCATTAACACAGTACATAATATGATCCTACCAAGAACACAAAGGATAGTAATGCATCAAAAGTGGTACCTGCTGCAGTTGCTAGTGGGGTTCCATGCAATGTCATGATGAATGCACAGACTAAAAAATAGGGGCTAAAAGGAAATCTCTGCTAACAGCAGAAGACTCAGAAGAAAACTTTCAGCCATGAAAAAGAAACCCCACTGACTTCACAGATTATGCACTGTGCCTATTACCTACCTGGGTGTAAGACTAACCTTGACTTTTCATTCTAGGAAATGCACAGGGCTATAAGTGTGATAGAGGAAATACTTTTAAATTTACAGGGAGAGGGTATATGGTGCATTGCTCATAAGCATCTTCTGCTTGTTGGATTAGAACCAAATTACGCTCTTAGAGTATAAAATCAGTGTTCTTCTGAAACCTTCAAATAAGGAGGACTATAACAGGCACAAAGTATTACTATTGTATGATCTGTTCAGAAACTGTATACTGTATCAGTGCTTGTGCACACATTAAAACTTGTGCACACAGAAGAAGGGAGTAAATTCCTTGAATTAAAATGGTAAATGCAATCTTAAACACATTAAACACCCATGAAATGCTGGGTGAATTCAGATACTAAAGTTCTTGTCTTGGGGAGGAAAGAGGGAAAATTCACAGGGAAACATGTCCAGGGAAAAATCAGGTGGGTTAAGGTTGTTGATGTTCACACTCTGGGCCCCTGAGCTGGAGACAAGGATTAAATAAAAAGTGGCTTACCAAATGGCTAGTGGGTGACATTATTCGGTCCAAAAGGATACCAAAAAGTGACATTTGGAGGGTTAATCAATTATAGATTATATAAACAAATAGCAACCAAAAATCAGGATTGGGATTAACAGGCAAGCACTCCAACATCCACTGTATATACAGTTCATAGCCACAGAGGCTGCACCCAGCTTGTGTTCATAGGGTCCGTATCAATGTATCCCCAATAAAAAACAAATCCGATTGAATTGTTTAAAAATAAAGCTAAGACAGGCAGTGCAAAAACTCCAGCTATTGGTCACTGTATTCTAATTTGTGAAATGCTAAACTCATCACCTCCTTGCGCACAGTCTCCAGAGAAGAAGGTGGCTGTGCCATGAGAACATAAAAACTGCCATTTACCACAGACCATAGGTTCATCTTGCTCAGTAGTCTGTGTCACACAGTGGCAGAGAGTGGATGCTGAAAGGGAGAGTGAATAGGCTATGACCAGGGCTTCTCTCCTCTTCCTCTTCCATTTGCAGCCTCCAGCATTTAAGGTCCAGGAAGTTCTGATTCAGTCTGTACCCTTAACTCCAGTGTTCAATAGCTACTGAGGCATCTTTCTTCCAAGAATCTGTCCAATCCCTTTTTGAATCTGGTTAAACTGTCAGGTTCCACAATGTCTGGTGGCAATGGGTTCCATGCTTTAATTACTCTCTGTGTAAAAAAACTTTCTTCTTTTAGTTTTAAACTTACTAACTGCTGGTTTCATTTTGTGACCCCTAGTTCTTGTATTATGAGAGACAGTAACTAATAAATCCCTATTTACTTTCTCTCTCTTCACCACTTAGTATTTTGTAAACCCTTACCATGCCCCACCTCAAGCACCTCCTTTCTAAACTGACTAGGCCAAGCCTCTTGAGTCTCTCCTCATATGGAAGCCGATCTATACCACTAAATCATCCCTGTTGCTCTTCTCTGTACCTTCTCTAGTTCTTCTATATCCTTTCTGAGGTGTGGGGACCAAAACTGGACACAATATTCAAAGTGTGGCCACACCATGGTTTTATAAAGAGGCGTAATGGGTGCTGATGGATGCGGTGAAAAAAAAAAGAAAGAAAAAGAAATGAGTTGTACCAGAAGCAGCAGCGTGTTACTTCAACCCGGCTCCACAGCATCTGTAAAGATTGCGTGCTTCAGCAGAGCCTTTTGGAGCTTTTAGCTAATGCTGAGTCAATCAGCTATTACATAAAAGTGCCAAAAAAGCCCCATTAAAATGCCCAATTTCTACAGACACTGGGAAAGCCAGGTGCAACTAAGGCGCTGCCTCTTCTGGGCACGTGTTGGGCTTGGTGCAGGATCATGCCGAGTTTAAAGCAAAGCAGTATTTTTTCTCCCCATGTCTGCAAGCAACCAATTGTATTTTGTTTTGGTTACAATTCCCTTCTTAATAACTCCTAACATTTTGCCTTTTTTAAGCCTGCTGAACACTGAGCTGCCATTTTTAGCAAACTGTCCACAATGACTCCCAGATCTCTTTCCTGCGTGGTAACAACTAAGTAGAGCCCATTGTAGTGTAAATATAGTTTGGATTGGCTTGTTTTTCTCATCCCACCACCACATGCTGACTACCCAAGCAGCTATAACAATAAGAAAGATTCCTCTCCTTACCTCGTGCATTTTTATGATTTCTTTGTCTACAGGGCAGATGGGCACTGCACTCCGGTCTCTAGATTGAGAGAGACAAAATTTAATTCCAACAATGTTTAATTTCTTCTACCTATGCTTAGGTCATACTGGACCAGACCATCACATTCATTATCCTGTCTCTAGTTTGGCCAATATTAGATGCTTCAAGGTCAAGAGAAGGAAGAAAAGGAAAAAAAAAAAAATCAATGCAACACACAGCTAATTATTCAATACTATTCATTGTTGAGGGGAGTAATTTCTTTGGGAGGCCTTTAAGTGAAATGAAATTAGATTACTCTGAGACCTCATCTACACTTACCTGGTGCAGCTGGCAAAAATTTTTGTGGGGCTCCCCTGCAATAGCTATGCTGGCAGTGCATGAAGTGCAACATGTCTTGAATGAAAGTGGTAGCCAGCAGAAGGCATGAGAGTGTTTCTTAATGCCCTCTGCCAGCTGTTAGACAGCAGTGGAAACCTTTTGTTTGGGATAGGTGATGTAACTCTGCCAGCAGAATGGGAAACGGAGGTGTTCTGCCACCTCAAAGGAGCTCTGAGTATGGATGCATTCTCATTATTTTGCTGGAAAAATCTAACAGTGTACACGAGGCCTGATTTTAGGATCAGATTCTGCCCCTTAATAAACACCTTTGTTCTCATTAAAGTTAAATTTAACTCCCCTTGTACTCGGCCTTAGTGAGGCCGCAGCTGGAGTACTGCGTCCAGTTTTGGGCTCCACAATTCAAAAAGGATGTGGAGAAGCTTGAGAGAGTCCAGAGAAGAGCCACGCGCATGATCAGAGGTCAGGGAAGCAGACCCTACGATGACAGGCTGAGAGCCCTGGGGCTCTTTAGCCTGGAAAAGCGCAGGCTCAGGGGTGATCTGATGGCCACCTCTAAGTTTATCAGGGGTGACCACCAGTATCTGGGGGAACGTTTGTTCACCAGAGCGCCCCAAGGGACGACGACTAAGTTGAATGGTCATAAACTACTACAAGACTGTTCCAGGCTGGACATAAGGAAGAATTTCTTTACTGTCCGAGCCCCCAAGGTCTGGAACAGCCTGCCACCGGAGGTGGTTCAAGCGCCTACACTGAACACCTTCAAGAGCAAACTGGATGCTCATCTTGCTGGGATCCTATGACCCCAGCTGACTTCCTGCCCTTTGGGCAGGGGGCTGGACTCGATGATCTTCCGAGGTCCCTTCCAGCCCTAATGTCTATGAAATCTATGAAATAAATTATGCTGCATGCACACACTCCAAAGCAGAATTTACTCCTTAACTTGCTGAACAAAGAATGATATACATGAGAGAATTATTAATAATTATATGAACAGAACACTTGAATGGAAAACACCACAGTACACTAGATTAGCCAGGCATCCAAACGCCATTAAAAAAAAAAAAAACTACTTCGTTGTTTGCTCTAGGACTTCATAGGCAGAACATTATCCAAACTGTAGAGAATTGTACAGCACAATCCTACTTCCTGTCAAAGTCAGCATGGCCCTGAATCCAGCAGGAAGTGAAAAAAAAAAGTATGTTGGCAACATGGGAAAAAGTAACCTGAGTATTTCGGGTAGAGGCAGGTTATATCAAAAATCTGCTTTACTTAATGGCCCAACAATAAAATGTAATAAAGATGATCTGTATTCAAAAGAAGCTGATCTCTATTTTTTCCTTCAACATTTTCTTTTCTAAGCTGTTCTGCAGTCAGCCAATTCAAACCAATTATAAGAAGTAGTTCTAGGTACAGTCAATAACATATTACTGTTGCTACTATGGAATTTCTGAGGAAATATGTTTAAGCTCCTTTAAACTATTCACTTGAACAGATGAATTGATTAAGTTACACCAAGTTACATCTGACCCATTGTGCCTACTACACAGTGGTATTTTCCCTTATGAATCACCTATAGATCATGTCCTTGATCTCTTGTAAAAGTAAATTAAGGGAAGTAAATGACTCCCCAATAACTTTCCTGCCAGAGGGTTGTTGGGAAGATCAAATGACGAGTGAATAGCACTTTGAAAACTAACAGTCTTACACATTATGAAGCCAAATTCTGCCTGCAGATTTGTAGGCAGATTGCGCAGGATTCTGCAAGTACTTAGCAGAGAGCAGAATTTGTCCTACTAATGGATTGTTTGTCAATTGATAAGGCTTTGTCACCCTGTGACTACTTGCTGCTGACAAGAAATGTCATAGCTGGAAATGCTCACAACATATGTGAAAAGATTATTAACTACTGCCTATGTCCAAGCTTTCCCATCCCACCCAGGACCTTGAAGATGTGCTTTACTATCTCAAAATATAATCAGAAAAGCCAAAAAGGAAGGGCAAACATACCTGATAGGCTATTAAAAAAGATGAGAGAGAGAATGAAATAGGAAACATCTAATGTTCATAATACTTGATGTACTGGTTCAGTGAAGGACTTCAGCATTTGGGATTCTACCTACCCATCTTGTCTTCATTAGCTTTCTCAGACAAATGGGGATGGTTCAGATTCTTGACATGATGGCTGTGGGTTGTCTATGATTTACAGGCGTACAGTAAGGAGGGAGGCCTACTGCCTTGTAGACTTGTCAGCATTGTCTACAAAGCTATGCCTCTCCTATCCCAAAGCCATTCACAAGATTTTCCCAATGCTGTGCTAGCTTTACGGGTTACAGTGGATATATCATCATTGTTACCAACTTTGCATGAGCCTGCGCTACCCGCGCAGGTGAATTTGTCTACAGCAGCGTTTCTCAACTGGTGGGTTGCAAGAATATTTGAAAGGGTAACAAGGAATTCCCAGAAAAAACCTGCAAAAGCACAGGTTTCACAGTGCAGGCTGGCAGCATTCCAGCCTGCAAGCGCTGCTTGGGATGATTGGTGATAGCGGGCACACATGCATCTGCGCATGCAGGTGCACATGGCCAGCATACAGCGAGGCCAGATCATGGGAGCAGCCCCAGGAGCAGGATGCAGGTAAGTGTATGGGGAGCAGGGGATGGAAGTCCAGGGGACTGTCTGGAGGGCAGGGGGGAGGAGGAGGCATGCATGTATGTGTCTGTGTGTGTGTGCTGGGGACTGTGGCCAGGCCTGGGGCAGGGCAGGGGTAGTGGGGGAAGGAGAGAGCGCCTGGCCCTTCAGCGAGCAAAGGAAGCAGGGGCGGTCCTTTGCAGCAGGGAGCTGCATGTCTAGACCAGTGGCATACATGCAAGGGCCCATACTCACTGCTTGTGCTCCAGCCCAAGCAGGACAGAGGCAGCTGGGGGCCCTCTCCAGCGAGGTAGAGGGGGCAGGGGATTGTGGATTGGGAGGGGCACCAGCATGACCCGGGGAGGGAGGGGGCAGGGGGCTGTGGCTTGGGGATGAGGTGTGCCAGCTGGTGATTGTGGGTCAGGTACCGGCAGGGTCAGGGTAAGCCATTGATTTTGGCAAATGGGTCCTGGAACGAAAAAGGTTGAGAAACACTGGTCTACAGCACGTGCCCTCCAGTGGTGAAATCTGGTGCTATGGATGGCTTAGCAGCAGGCAGGTAGAGAGCCTCGGTCTTTTTTAAAGCTAACCTTCCAGCCAAAATGCAAATATGAAGTTGCAAAGGGATCCACGATAAAGCAGAACTCACATACTTCATAGGGCCAAGTTTCTATGCTCCTATGAGTGTAAGGGTCTGAAAATTAACTGGTGCTGTATAGAGCTGCAGCAAACAGCTGTGCAGGACCACTGAGACACATCAGCCTTTCCTGCTATTTTATTTCAAAGGGCACCACTTCTCTGATTAGCCACGTGGGGCCATTGAAACACTTCAGCTGATCAGAGAAGCATCACCCTTTGAAGTAGAGCTCATCTTTAATTTTGCAACCTGCTGCCAACTAAGTGTGATTCGCCCGATCCAGATTCCACTATAACTTGCTTATCTCCCCAAGAATGGGCAACCACGGCACAACATCCTGGACACACTTCAGAATCTTGCTTTTGCTTGCTTAGGATTAAACAGCTTTTCCTCAGTCCTAAACTTAACCTGACTATCCACATATAAAGATCACAAAGAGGCAAGCAAGCAAGACATTCATTAGCACAGGTACAAGAACACATCTAATGCTTTACACTGTATTACTGGAAGTGGATGGGAGACATTCCCATCTTCCATCCCTCTTGTTATCATCCTATCATGAAATCACCCAGTCAAATCAGGTAAACTCACAAGCTTTAACAGGCCTTCTGTACTAACAATGTCATATGACTTTGAGAGATCAACAAAAGCAAAGTACAGATCAGTATTCTGCTCTCAAAATTTCTCTTACATTTGCCGCTCAGCAAAGATCACATTGGTTGTTCCTACCCCTTCTCTGAAACCACATGGCCTATCAGACAATACATTCTTACCAATATAGCAGGTAAAACAGCTAAGTATGATTCTTGCAAGGGTCCTGAGGCAATCACCAATACAGAGGTTTCCTGATGACTATCACATAAAGAATGATTATACCCTTCTGGATATATGAACAAGAGGAGCCTCTTGGTATTCTTGGGGTAGCACTCCTTTATGCCACATCAAGTGAAAGAGCTTTGGGGGGATTAAATACTACCTGTCAGCTCTGTCATTTGAGAGCAATGTAATTGCTTTTTCAGCCTATAAGGTGATAGGTTCAGTGGCAAGTATTCATTGATGGCATACTGAACTAGTTGATCAATAGCCTCCTTACTAATGCTGAATTCCTTATTAAGCAGATTTTTAAAGTCATCAGACCACTATTCCAGACTGCTTCTTTTCAATCAGAAACATGCTTCCAGCTCAACTCATAGGTAGGGACCTACCAAAATTATAATTTTGTGATTTTCATGCAAACTGCAACTTTGGATGGGCTCCACAAAAAAACTCCACAGGCTTCCTGAAAACCGCCCAACAAAACCTAACACTTATCTAAAGTAAAATGCTGGCTCCCTCTGAGGAGGCAGCAGTCCTTGTGGCTGCTGCAGCCTGGCTGTGCAGCCTGCCAGGTGCACTGCCAGGTGCACAGCCACACCCTCGACAGCTGCAAGGGCTGTCTGTCATATGGCCTAATGGCCCCACTCCTCTCCAGCAACTGGTGGTGAGGGGCACGGCTGCATGACAGAAAGCCCCTGCAACCAGTCAGCAGGGTTTCCCATCAAGCTGTCTCTATATCCTCAACCTTTTCTTTGAACCAGTCTTAATGCTTTTGGACTGTTGAACCAGGAGTGTTCAAAGCAGATTCACAAGCTCTTCAAAAAGCTTCGATATCTCCAGAAGTTGCACTAATGATATTTAAGCTCCCTTTCCACAGCTTTATAGAGCTCCTCTTCTACAGAATCAGTCTGTGATATACCGATACAGTAAAAGCTGTGCTATCCAGCACTTTACTAACCGGCACACTCTATTAACCAGCATGCTGATCAATGCAACAAAAGCAAAACCGGGAGTCCCACCGTGGCATTTCCGGTTTCGCCAAGTCCCACGGCCCGGGGCTAAGCAGTCTGCGTGGGGCCCCCCTCTCTGTCCCCCAGCACACATTGATATGGGAATAGTAAACTTTTCATTAAAATTCCCTCCTTGGGGGGGGCGGGGG